TGGAACAGCTGATTAACAGCTGACCAAAATTCAACAATTCAGCAATTCAACAGTTTAGGGAATCCCCCTTAATTATTTTTGCCTCTCACAGAGCGTGCTCCATGTTGCACGGTATCCCAAAAAATCAGAAATTAAGTGAACTAATTATAGTAAAAGTTTCAAACAATTATTATCGTCAATTTTCGAGATATTTGTCCAACAGTTTAGCGGCATGGGGAAATGCCCTCAATGGCCATCGGGTGCTTCCTGTTTTCGACGCTAACTTAAAATGAATTATTTCTCCTTTCACAGGGCGTGCTCCACATAGTACGGTATCCCAGAAAATCAGAAATTAAATTAACTAACTATAATAAAAGTTTCATTTAATTATTATCGTCAGTTTTCGAGATAATTGCCAAACATTTAATCTGTTTGGGCAATTGCCGCCCACGGCCATCGGGTGCCCCATGTTTCTATTTCTGCACGTAGTGTAGACACTAACCATACTAATACATCGATAGTCATTCGATATTCTAGAATTTGGCGCTAGTTAGCACTGGCCATTTAAAACTTTTATTTTCTACTAAGCTATAATCTTTGTAATATTTCGACCACTAACGCTCGTTCGAAGCTAATCATTTTGGTGAATGTTTTATCAAAATCGGTTTAGCCGTTCCCGAGATATTGTCTATTTTACTCTTAATTGCCGAAATTCGCAGTGATTACTATGCAGCCCTCGTCATAATTTGAGGAACTTATAATGTTTTGATCGCTAATTTTGTCTTAAAGCCTAGTACTCAGTACGACGAAAACTGCTAGCTAAGCATAGGAGTAAGCGAGAGGCAAATAGGTAGATAAGGCCTTTAGCTGGGTCTTTTTCCCACCTCGGTACTCAGTTGAGCTAAGGAAATAGTAAGAAAATACCACTAAAATACTAGATTTAGCGGATGAATTCCGATGAACGCCTTTAGCCGCGGCCCAAAGAATAAAAAATTTGATCTTTGGCTGTGTTTGTGCAAAACCGGTGTGCCAATAACATATTATAAATAGAATGAAAACCCCAAAAACCAATGGAAAACCGCCTGTAGGAGTTGCTGCGATACATATCGCCATTCTAACAGCAAATTTAAAGCTTGCGACCCAGGTAGGCTCAACGTTCTGTAATATTTTAAAATTGGCGCCAGTTGATTTGTTTGCTGAGAGTAAGACCATGCTACATGCATTGCGGATGAACTCCGAAAACTTCGGTGACCGAAGTTTTAAATATTACAATACGTTGAGCCGACCTGGGTCGCAAGCTCTCAATTCTCTGTTGGAATGGCGATATGTATTGCAGCAGCTCCATTTATAAATTGTTATTGGCACTCCGCTTCTGCACATACACAGGCAAAGATCAAATTTTTTATTCTTTGGTCGGCGGCTAAAGGCGTTCATCCGCTAAATCTAGTATTTTTGTGGTATTTTCTCACTATTTCCTTAGCTCAACTGAGTACCGCGGTGGAAAAAAGTCCCAGCTAAAGCCCAGTACTCAGTTCGGCTAAAGCCTAGTACTCAGTTCGGCTAAGAGTTTTACTAGTCGAAAAATATTAATCTTTTAGTGTGACCGAAGTTTTCGGATTTCATCCGCAATGCATGTAGCATGGTCTTACTCTCAGCAAACAAATCAACTGGCGCCAATTTTAAAATATTACAGAACGTTGAGCCTACCTGGGTCGCAAGCTTTAAATTCCCTGTTGAAGAGGCGATATGTATTGCAGCAACTCCTACAGGCAGTTTTCCATTGATTTTTGTGGTTTTATTTCCATTTATAAATTGTTATTGGCACACCGCTTTTGCACAAACACAGCCAAAGATCAAATTTGTTATTCTTTGGGCCGCGGCTAAAGGCGTTCATCGGAATTCATCCGCTAAATCTAGTATTTTTTTTGGTATTTCCTTATTGTTTCCTTAGCTCAACTGAGTACCGCCGTGGAAAAAAGACCCAGCTAAAGGCCTTATCTACCTATTTGCCTCTCGCTTACTCCTATGCTTAGCTAGCAGTTTTCGTCGTACTGAGTACTAGGCTTAAGGAAGCGTTTTCGACTATATATACTATATTCGACTATATACTATAACAAACATAAACATAAACAAAATTAAAATATATACGCTGAATCTGGAATCCCTGGAACTGCACCGAGTGAGCAATACTTTATCTGCAAGGGTATATAAGCTTCGGCTGGCCGAAGTTAGCTTCCTTTCTTGTTTTTTTTTTGTATTTTATTTATTTATTTATTTAAAGTTAGCAAATATCTGCCAACATAAACATAGTACCCTACTCACATCAAGTGGAAGGGGGCAAGGACAGGTAAGTTAGGATGTTTGTTACAATTTAATTAACAGAGCATTCCGAGAATATCAAAAAATACAGTTCATTATATTGCGAACATAAAACGCGAAATGGATCATGTAACTGAAAGTTAGTTTTACAAATATCGAGGGCAATTGGTCGAAAGTGCCGAGTAGACCTTACAGGAATGGAGAAACGAATTTGACCAAGAAGGTAGCTTGAATTTACAAGTCCAGTAATTAATTTGTGCAGGAACATAACACCATGGCAGGTTCGACGATCCTTGAGGGAGGGCAGGTTAAGTAGACGCAGTCTATCCACGTACGTAAAACAATCAAATACATAAAAAAAAAATTTAATTTTGAAACTTTTTTTTACTTTTAAATTTAGTTTTTCATATACTTATTCCAAATCCTTATAAAAATGGAACTGAAGTGTAAAATTAGCTTTCTAAATTTTGCTGACAAAACTAAATTCATTGCTCATATGTGTGAATATCATACGCTTACACTTTTTTGCAATCTTCCTTGCGGTTTTATGTTTTGTTCCCAAACATATTCTAATATATGGTCCCTCAAAAAACATATCAAAAACGAAATTTTACATTAAAGCCTAGTACTCAGTACGACGAAAACTGCTAGCTAAGCATAGGAGTAAGCGAGAGGCAAATAGGTCGCTAAAGCCCTTAGCCGGGGACTTTTCCCACCTCGGTACTCAGTTGAGCTAAGGAAATAGTAAGAAAATACCACTAAAATACTAGATTTAGCGGATGAATTCCGATGAACGCCTTTAGCCGCGGCCCAAAGAATAAAAAATTTGATCTTTGGCTGTGTTTGTGCAAAACCGGTGTGCCAATAACATATTATAAATAGAATGAAAACCCCAAAAACCAATGGAAAACCGCCTGTAGGAGTTGCTGCGATACATATCGCCATTCTAACAGCAAATTTAAAGCTTGCGACCCAGGTAGGCTCAACGTTCTGTAATATTTTAAAATTGGCGCCAGTTGATTTGTTTGCTGAGAGTAAGCCCATGCTACATGCATTGCGGATGAAATCCGAAAACTTCGGTCACACTAAAAGATTAATATTTTTCGACTGGTAAAACTCTTAGCCGAACTGAGTACAAGGCTTAAAAAGTAACTCTTAAGCGGCTCCTAATTATTTTAGTAATTAATGTGATTTTTCTAGATTTTTATGTCAATCCGTTCTGGGTGGAATTTGGTACTGACCGTATTTTTGGTCTACAATTATATTGAAATAGATTTCATATTCAATCCAAATATTTTTCACTTTGATTTTCATCAATTGCGGTTTTTATTAAATATATAAATATGTTCATATTACCTTTTATTAAACCAACGGACTTTTTAAAGGCCCTGCAATGTGCTAACAACATTTTTCGGCATAAAGTATGTATATTCTTCATCAGGATCACTAGCCCAGTCGATCTAGCCATGTCCGTCTGTCTGTCTGTATGAGCGCTTAGATCTCAGAAACCACAAAAGCAAGAAGGTTGAGATTTCCCACACATATTCTTGGGCTTCCTAAGCAGCGCAAGTTTATTTCAGCCGAGCGCCACGCCCCCTCCAACGCCCACAATCGCCCACTAACGATTTTAAAATGTGCCTGGCGGTCACACCTTTAAAGATTTCCGAGAAGTATAAATGCAATTTTGTTGTGTATATTTATACCTATCGAAATGTAGAAGACATTTTTCGAATCGGACCATTTATTAAAAAGTTATGCGCAATCAAAAAAGTGTTATATATTCATCTCCATCGCACTCCCCTTAGCTGAGTGCATGTCATAACGCCCGGTGTTATAATCTCTAAAGATTATAAAATGAAAGACCGATTTTTAGGGGGATACGACCACAGCCTAAACCATAAGAGCTACAGCAGCCAAATTTTTTCACAGTATTCCATTGGGGGCGTAGGCGCCCACTAAGGTCCGACATGTCCCCCCAGTGGCCCCAAACAGCTCCAATATCCATATTTAGAGCAAAAAATCATTATATTTACTTAAGCTTAACTTCTGAAGTGGTTGGAATTTCGAAATTTTAATTTTGCAGAATTTTAGGTCTTGAAAGGACCCAATTAGAAATCTAAAAGCAATTTCGATATCCCCCATAATTTGGGGGCTACATTTAAAATTAACTTTTCGATTTAAAAAATCTAAACCGCTGCTCCGATCGAGATGATTTTTCGGTAAATGGTTATTCTATGGTCCAAATGCTCGAGTTTAATTTTTTAAGTTTTTAACATTTTGACACCGGGCGTTATGAGACGCACCCGTTTTTTTACCAATTATTCCAACGAAATTCATAATTAGACAAGACAAGAAATGGGAGATCGATTTTTTTTGCCCAATTTCGAACTGTTATACATGTCGTATGAGTAATCTTAAAGCAAACTTTGCAGACGTTTCGCAAGGTCTAAATCTCGAATACAAATTTTTTGTTTTTACATACATTTTTTGCTTACTTTATACCATATATACCATGTTAAGGAGTGAGAATAGAATTTCATTTTGTGGACCGCCCTAGTGATCATAGTCCCGTGTGATTGACCTTATTCCCAATACTTGAACTCCTTTCTTATCTTAGAATGCAAAAAAGAAAACGTTTATATTCCTCGACAATTAAAGCAAACTTTTAATCTCTGACAACATTATATTATATTATTAAACGATCAGTGACTACATAGCTGAAACCTTTCGAAGCTTTTTAGGGTTCCTATAAATACACAGCCCGCTAGTCCAGAGTAAGAAATTCTCAGTCAATAAGCGAAGCTGCATCCAATAAAAATGTCTAACAGTGAGTCTTGCCAGGAGCAAGGGGATCTGTATGTTTAAATAACATTTTTTGCTTTTTCGCAGAGCTTACACTCGCACTACTGCAGCTTCCTGTGGGCAATGATGTCGCCATAAATGTGCGTCGGGCGGCCGATAGTATAAGGCAGCTAAAGGTGGACAACTCGCAGCTGCAGCTGGCCATTCTGCCGGAGAGTTTCAATGCACCCTACGGGCAAGACCACTTTCCGAAATTCGCCGAGAAGGTGCCAGAAGGTCCGACCTGCCAGGCGTTGTCGCAGCTGGCCAGCGATCTAGGCATCTATATAATCGGCGGCAGCATCGTGGAGCGCGAGGGCGACCAACTGTACAACACGTGCACCGTGTGGGCGCCCGATGGAACCCTTATAGGCAAGCATCGCAAGGTAAGCTAAGAAAAATGAATGAACAGTGGCATATTGACCTGGTACTGGCAGATTCACCTTTTCACCATGAACATTGAGCCCGCCAATGCTGGAGGCGTGGCGTTCGATGAAGCGGCTGTCCTGACGGCGGGATCAGAGCTGACGGTTGTACAGATTGGGCAGCAGAAGGTCGGCATTGGTATCTGCCACGACAAGCGCTTTGAGGAGCTGGCGAGGATCTACCGGAACATGGGTGAGCCCATTTATCGGCCGCTGTCCGTTGGATTCAATAAATACGCCTCTTAGGTTGCACCATGCTGGTCTACCCGTCCGCGTTCTGCATCTGCCAGGGACCGATGCATTGGGAGCTTCTACAACGGGCCCGGGCTACCGACAACCAGCTTTTTGTGGTCACGTGCTCTCCTGCTCGCGACAACATGTCGGGCTACGTGGCCTACGGACACTCGATGGTCGTGAATCCCTGGGCCCAGGTGCAGCGCGAGGCTGGCGAGGGATGCGAGTTCATTGTCGAGGAAATCGGTGAGTGCTCTGCCATTAGCAGCGAACATTGCAAGGCTTACCACTCACTTCCTCATCTGTAGATTTTGACATTGTCGAGCAAGTGCGCCGGCAAATCCCCATCTTCAAGCAGCGGCGCACTGAGGTCTACGCAAAGGCCAGAGTTGATTTGTAATGTTTGTCAACAATTTAAACCACCATATTAAGCGAATAAAGCAATCAGGAAAACAGCGGGAGAGAACTTTTCTGATAGGGCTTGACATGCTTATCGCTTCGGAAATATACTTCACAACGGGCACTCACATAGTTACAGCAAGCAATGAAGCTAGCTTCGGCAAGCCGAAGCGTATATACCTTGCAATCGATTTATAAACCTCAAGATTGTTTATAAACAAATAGTGCCAATGGTAGCTATATGATTCAATTATATACCGCCTTACTTTTGCTATAACAGCTATATGGTATAGTTGGGACTTTTTTTTTAAGTGTAGGAACATGGTGAAAACATTTTCAATGGTGAAATACAACATTTTAAAAGTCATAAGTAAAATAAGATTTGTGTACGCATTTTAAATTTCACACTGTATTATTATTATGTAAAAAAATTTGTATGAAGCATTTTACATATAAAATGCTTCAGCCCTGTTCTGTAACTAAATCGACCTTTTAAATAAATCCTATTTTCTTTGTGTAACAAGGTTCAGTCTTAACTTAAGAGAGTATTTAATAATATTATTTAAAAATGACAATCAACCACTTAAAATAGAAATCCGACAAAAAAGGCTTCCGTTACATATTACATATAGAAAAAAGAGAGAACGCTATAGTCAAGTGACTCGGCTAATAGAGACTCCTTACTTAGCTGACCAACTGACGACTATTTTTTTTCTAATTAAAGAAATGTATCAAGTAAACTCATTATGACTTGAAACCATTAATACTTTTAATACTATTCAGAACTTTTACATTAAACAAAAATTCATAATGAATTCTGCTAGGCATTATTGCACTTTTAAAAGGCATATAATACCCTCTGCAAGGGTATAAAACGAGCTTGAATTAAGTAAAGCACATTGGTGCCATCACTGCTTAAAAATTAAAAAATTTCGAAATTCTTGAAGTACAAATCGAAAAGAATCTTATATTTAACTTCCAAAGGTTTATGTAATTACTAGACATCGGATTTTAGGTGAAATCGTTTTTTTTAAATATGATTTAAAGCCACATTTGATTTTTGTACAAAAACCTCAATTAAGTTTGGCCAAAATCTAATTATAACTTAATAAATAAAATTTGTAACCAATCAAATGTGGCTTTAAATCGTATTAAAAAAAAACGATTTCACCTAAAATACGATGTCTACACAGAGAGCATTTTTCAAGAAGACTGACGTTCTCAAATTAAGTATTTTATTCTCAATTTGAGGAAGTACTGATTTTGTGGTCAAGTTTTGATAAAAAAGCCTAATACTTTATCCTTAATGTTTCCCCCTTATTTGTCCCCGTTTTTTGAGAAAAAAACTCTAAAAAGACTCAATTACAAGGTATATTACTTAAAAAAAATTCTACTGAAAGTGAGTATTTCGCACTTAAAGTGAGTCAAGTTTTATTTTGAGTAAAAATTCTTAATTTGTGTGCAACGTTCACGAAAAATTCTCTCTGTGTACTAATTACCCTTAACGTCTTAAACGCCTTTATTATACATTTTTATTTTTAAGAATAAGAATATTTTAACGAAACTAGTCTTGATGCTAGCTTCTGTATTTAAAAACTTTTGTAACTTTACAGTAAGTGTAAAATAGTAGTCCCATTGGAAATTAGTAAAGTACGTATATTATAAAAGTGGGAGGAATTCAAATTTGCATAAGAGACAAATCTGATTTTTTTTTACCGGACTTGACCCGATATCCTAATATGTCAACAACCACTGTGCAACTAAACTCGACATCCGTCCAGGGGCTGACAAGCCTCGGTCAGAAGCTTGGCTTCCAGTGGTTTTGAAAAAGCGATTCTGGCAAAGCACAACCAGATCTGTTCGATGACAGCCTCAAATCTAAAGTTCGGCGCGTCAGTAGCCCTAATTTTGTGGTTGTCGGCTGGCGTAGGGCATTGCCAGGTTGGATATGTGCGGCACCTATCGGAGCTGCGGATTAAGGAGCTTGAGGACTTGGCGGCTCGCATGCAGAACTCAATTAACACCGACAAATATGCATGCGACAGTTACTTTGACTACGTCTGTAGTCGCAATCGGCCGCTCTTCTCCATCATGGGTATGTTGATATGGAGTGCCAAGAGGGTGTCTAATATAAATTCCAAATCTTAGGTCACATGCCTCAGATGAGTGACCTTATGCAGTTATTGACCGAGCTTCAAAATGACCCAGAACAGTTTGAGGCAAAGCAGAAAATGATGGACTTCTTCATTTCCTGCAACTCGCAGCACGCGCTGGATGACTGCTATCGCGAAACCTTTGAATACTTCAAGCCACTATTTGGGTACATTGTTACAAAAAACATCGTCAATGGGGGATCCCACGAGCTGGACGACTTTCTTGGCATTTTAGACCGCTTCGTGGCCAGGCTGCAAAAAGATAGAGAGTCCAATCCTATTCTCGACAAACTGGCAACTTACAAGCAGAAGTTCAAAACGCCACGCGTATACTTCCACGCAAGAGATCTAAGTCGGGAGTACCGAGACTTGCGTATCTACCGGGAGAGCTACGAGCACAACATTCGAAACCTTGAGCTGTATCGAAAGCAGAATTCGACTTACGAGCTAGGTGTCCAGCGCACAATGCTGGATTGGAGCATGTACCTCTTTCAGAGCCGGAACAAGCCCATGTCCTACTACTACTCTACGTTTGCCGTGCACTTGTATATGATGCTTTTCAACAGCCGGGAACGTCAGCGCGATTTTACGCGATTCCGCGAAGAAGTAGAGTGTCTAAGGCTGCCGCAATTCGTCAACGTGCTGGATGAAGCCAGAATGCTGGCCGTAATATACCTTAAGAGCTTCCGAGCCGCTTGGATAGACTACAGCGCTTGGACCAACACACCACCACAAAACAATGGGGTCTACGATCAGGAGAACGGTATCCTTCAGAAATACCATCTTGACAATAAACGCATCTTCTTTACACTCTATGCCCAAAACTTTTGCGAGTTTGGCAAGGATCTGGCCGAGCACGTCTTTTATCTGGGTCTTAAGCAGAATAAGGACTTCTTCGACATATATTCATGTGGGTTCCAAACGGAAAACCATATGACGTGTGTATAAGCGATCGAGTTCTTTGTTTCATCAATATTTAAATATATAACATTATCAAATAGGAACACCAAAAGAAATACAATAAAGAATGTTATGCTTATCACATCAGGTTACATAAAAAACCGATTTAATATGCTGTACACTATGGGAAAATACTATGACTTATTGGGATAAACTCTAGATTTAAAGCAGTGATGGCTTACAGATGCACTCATAGAAATTTTTACCCTAAATCGCCCTAAAAAACTGACTTTTCACCAGTGGATTTAGAAACATTGTTCTAAACAAGAAAGGAAGATAGCTTCGGACACCCGAAGCTTATATACCCATGCAGATCATTCCCATTAATTACAATTGTTACATTTTCTATTATTTCTCATTAACTTTCCGTTCGTTCGTGAGGCATCCATATGATATAGTAGTTCAATTTTGATAAAATTAAAATCGAAATTCGGAAATATTTAAAAAGAGTCATATCCCAGAGTAGAAGATAATACAATAAAAACCAACGAAGCAATAATCTTTTTCCTATTAATTTGCATTTAATTTTCCGACCGTTCCTATGGCAGCTATATGATATAGTGTCCCGATTTGTTCTAAATTTTATTCGAAATTCATAAATATTTAAAAAATAACATTCACAAGAGTAGAAGTTAATATTTCAAAAAATACCGAAGCTAGCATTTTTTTAACTTTTTTTTTTATCTTTCCTATGGGAGCTATAAGATATCGATGTCCGATCCGGCCGGATCCGACTAATATACTACCTGCAATAGAAAGAAGACTTTTGGGAAAGTTTCGAGCCGATAGCTTCAAAACTGAGAGACTAGTTTGCGTAGAAACAGACGGACAGACGGACATGGCAAGATCGACTCGTCTAGTGATGCTAATAAAGAATATATATACCTTATGGGGTCGGAAACGTCTCCTTCACTGCGTTGCAAACTTCTGACTAAAATCATAATACCCTCTGCAAGGGTATAAAAATCCCCATTGAAATTTGGTTTAATTTAGGGTGATTTTTCTTGAATTGAGAAATATTTTCCTGTTTTTAGGGTGATTTTTCTTGAATTGAGAAATATTTTCCTGTTTTTAGGGTGATTTGTCCTAAATTTAAGGTGTATTTTTCTATAAGTAAGGACGAATTTTCTTTTTTTTTAGATTAGACAAATTTAAAAAAAAACGTGGTTGTGCATGCTTAACTGAATTTGGGAACTGGGGCTGCTTTAATTAAACAACACCGGCGGAGGACACCGTTGTATGGGAGCTGCGTTAAGGTGGTCCAACCTATACAGCAAGGCGTTAAAACTGAAAAATCATGTTTGTAAAAAAATTAGAGAAATAAGTATGAGGAGAAAAAACAACTTACTTTTGGTCACTGCGAGAATCAAACCCACGACCTCTCGGTTTAGAGTCTAACGTCCTACCGCTGCACGACAGACCCATTGCGCAAGGCGACGTACAAACCTTGCACACATCTTATTTTCTTGAGGTCTACGTTATAATTTGACTAAAGGCAACTAAACCTTATATTTATACCCGTTACTCGTAGAGTAAAAGGATATATTGAATTCGTGCAAAAGTATGTAACAGGGAGAAGGAAGCGTTTCCGACCCTGTAAAGTATATATATTCTTGATCAGGGTCACTAGCCGAGTCGATATAGCCATGTCCGTCTGTCTGTCTTTACGTCTGTCTGTCTTTACGTCTGTCTGTCCGTATGAACGCTGAGATCTCGGAAACTACAAAAGCTAGAAGGTTGAGATTTTTCACACATATTCTTAGGCTTCCTAGGCAGCGCAAGTTTATTTCAGCCGAGCGCCACGCCCCCTCTTATGCCCACAATCGCCCACTAACGATTTTAAAACTTGTCTGGCGCCCACACTTTTAAAGATTTCCGAGAAGTATAAATGCAATTTTGTTGCATTTATTTATTTATACCTATCGAAATGTAGAAGACATTTTTCAAATCGGAACATTCATTGAAAAGTTATACGTAATCAAAATTATTTATATATCTATCTCCCTCGCACTCCCTTTAGCTGAGTTACGATTACTAGATAGCCAAGACACCAAACCGAGTACAGCGTTCGCACTCCCTTTAGCTGAGTGACGGTTATTAGATAGTCGGGACACCAACTCGACTATAGCGTTCTCTCTTTTTTTTTTAAATGAATAAGAAGAAGAGTCGTAGAATTTTTTTTGGATAAATGGCGATATTTTCTTGGATTAATGGCGATATTTTCCGACCTTTTTTCTTGATTTAATAGTAAAATCGCCTTTGATTCTAGAAAATAAATACCTATTTTTCAGGAATGTTGTGTAATTTTTTAGTATTCTAGTATGGTGGCCTAGCTGTTAGAAGCCGCGGAAACCGCGGTTCGACCTCACGCAGGACGAGTCTAAATTTTTTTTAATAGTTATTGATTTTTTTTTGGATAAAACCGCATTCAGTCGGCGGTATACTCTTTTAGTAAATTGATCAACAAATTTTGAAGGAATGAACTGATTTGGGGATGGCACTCAAAGGCGCTTGAAAAGCAACGCACTAATTTGCTAAAAGAAAACCGTAAAAATCAACAAATACATTTTTTTTTAGGAAACAACAAAACAAACGACCTATATTATATTTTTTATTTATTGAAAGTAATCCATCCACGACTCCGAGCCCTGCCCTGCCAACAAGGAAGACTCTTACTAAAAAGGGTGTAAACTGCCAAGGAAACCACACAGCAAACTACGGAGGCTGTCCAGTCTACAAGGAGATGAAAAAACGGATGCAACGAACGACAACGGCACGCTACCAGAACACACAGAACAATTACATGAGATCACAAACGACACCGGAAGTTTTCTTTGCAAAAGCAGCCAGGTCTTCATTTGGCCCTTCAATTACCACCAACGGCATTTCTTACGCCAGTGCTCTAAAATCAGGCACAGCTCACATAGAACCGAAAATGGATAACATCCCGCAGGCCATGGGACATCCCCAAAGTGACATGGAAACTATGATGATCACTTTGCAACATAATATGATGGAATTTATGTCCTTCATGAAAACCACCATGCAAACCCTTGTGCAAACCCAAAACATTTTGTTAAAAATACTCGCAGCTCAGCAGTCCAAATAAACTATGCCTAGTCTTCGAATAACTTTGTGGAACGCCAACGGTGTTTCACGGCATATACCTGAAATAAGTCAGTTTCTGAACGAAAACCACATCGACGTTATGTTGCTGGCAGAAACGCATCTCACCAGCAAATATATTTTCAAATACGGGGATACACGTTCTACAGCACAGATCATCCAGATGGTAAAGCACATGGCGGAACCGGCATCTTAATAAGAGACCGCATCAAACAGCACTTTCACCAAAGGTTTGCAAAAAGTTATTTGCAAGTTACATCGACCCGTTTTACAGTCTCCGAAGACCAATTCATGGACTTCTACAATTCACTTGGAGAGCGATTCATAGCAGCAGGAGATTACAACCCCAAGCACACACACTGGGGATCCCGCCTTGTGACCCCCAAAGGAAGGCAACTATATAACGCACTCATCAAGACATGCAACAAACTGGACTACGTTTCGCCAGGCAGCCCTACATACTTGCCTACAGATCCTAGAAAACTACCTGACTTAATTGATTTTGCTGTGACAAAAAATATTTCTCGCAATCTAATATCTGCAAAATCGCTTTTGGATCTATCATCGGACCACTCACCAGTGCTAATAACTCTTCTTGAAAGCCCGGAATTAATCGAGCACCCTTGGAGGCTGACGTCGCATCGAACCAACTGGCTGAAGTTCAAAAAGTACGTAAGTTCCCACATTGAACTGACTCCACAGCTCAACATCAAGGAGGACATCGACTGCTATGCCGATGCACTGGAGTCTGTACTCGTCGCAGCAGCCAAAGTCTCTACACCGCAAGGGAGGGATGGGCGCACACACCAACACAAAACTAACTTGGAAATCGAACAGCTTGTTTTGGAGAAAAGACGTTTGAGGCGTGCTTGGCAAACCAGCAGATCGCCATCCTCGAAACAAAGTCTTAAGGAAGCTGGTCGCAGACTTACCAGGGCCCTAAGGCGCGAAGAAGTAGAAGCACAACGCCAGTACATTGAGAAACATTCACCCACCAGCACCAAGCATCCCTTGTGGAAGGCCCACCCAAATCTAAGTGCGCCGTCCGAAACAGTAATCCCCATAAGAGACTCTCAGAGCTTGCTTTACACCTTAAATGTCTTTCAGCCAAACCCTGCAACAAATTCATTCGCACTACCGCCGCCGCCAATTCGAATCGAAACTGAGACGGACCCAATTCAGTTTCAACCAAACGAAGTTGCAAAAGTCATCAGCGAGCAATTGAAATCAAAAAAGGCCCCAGGCGGTGATCTAATAACTGCGAAAATGCTAATTGAACTCCCATACTGTGCAGTTGAGGTCATTTGTAAACTCTTTAACGGGATTACACGACTTGGCTTGTTGACTTCTGTGGCGGCCGATCAAGACATAATAAAAACGCAAATTATTTTCTGCTTGACAATTGCAGTACGTGCGTGCGACGAGCGGCGTGCGTCGTACGAAACGATGGCTTTATTCGTTTAAGGCGAAGCGTGAAGCGTTTTATTATCTAGTTTTTAAAGGCTTAAATTAGAACACAAATTAGTTTTTATGCTGAGACTACGTACCAACCGTTTCGGCTGAAAGTACAAAAGTGGCAACTCTATCGAGCCTATCGTGAGCTTATAATCGTATGTGATCGATTACACAGTAATCGTTTCAAAGTAATCGTTTCAAATTAAACATTAAATGATAAAGGGTACAAGTATTTGAATTTATCTTGACTTAATTTAAATGAAAATTATAATAATAAAGAGCATTTCTTAACATTCCGGCCCCCGTGAATAGGAGCCTGCTGAGATTCACCAATGACGTCGAGGACGGCCAATTTGGACGCTGGTCTTCGAAGTACTGCAGTTGCAGTTTTTACCGTTGCTGATCGCACTTGTCCGTCCTTTGCTGATTGAATTTCAATGATTCTTCCCTTCCTCCATACACCACGGCTATCGGTCTCGTCGCAAATCAGGACCACATCTCCAATTTGTATTGGCTCCACACGG